GATGGTGGGAGCAGTAAAACTTTATATACGAAGGTTACATTCTGACACAGAAGGTATGCTTAAGCCACTGCGTATCTCGTATTCGCGCTCTTTTTATTTTTAGCCCCCGACGCAAAAATAGAGGTATTATAAAGTTGACATCGATATTTGTGTGTGTGTGTGTGCATGCGTGGGTGTGTGTGTCGGTATGTAGCTCTCGAACGGTTTACCGTATTTTGATGCGGTTTTTATAATTTAGAATTCTATTTTCTTAGTTTTATTTTTCAAAAGTATATAAAAGTATCAGTGCTATTGCAAACTTATGTTTGAAATTTTTAACTTATGGTAAGTCAAGTAAGTTAAATAGCACTTAACTCGTAGGTTTTTTTATTTAATAAATTGTTGTTGTTTAATAAATTTTATAGATAAAATATATATTCAAAACATAATGAATAAACACTGAAAACAAGATACAGAATGTTGAAGAATACTTGTTGCTTTATCTAGTTTTCTATCAAAAGATGAATAATGATATAATTATAATATAAATGAAACAATAATAAGATGAAAATACATTACAATATTACTCCAGCGATTCAGAGTGTTATTTCATAAACACGTTTAGCAGTCAGTCCAAGTGTGGCTGGCTTCTGAAATATTGATTGGATGTATTTTGCTTTTATGACGTTATAATCTTTAGAAGTCTTTTTGAAAATGAGTCTTTTTATGCCGGGTACATACAACATGTATATTTTAGATTAAGTTCTTTATTGTACTACGATAAATGAATAATTTGATTTTTCACTATTATTAAAATATCATATACTGTGGCAGTATGAATAAATAAACAAAACATGTACAAATCAAAAATGTTACTAAAACAAGGATTCTTCAGAGTCTTGTTAATTTTATCAGTCATTTCCTAAACTACAACAGTCCATTTTATTAATAAATAATCGTTCAAGGAATGAATATTGTTTGACAATCTTTTTATCGACTCACTTCTTAAAAGTTTATACGGAGTTGCTAGTCCTAATATCAGTGAAGGAATATTTTAAATTCCGTTCGTTCATTTAAGAACTATCTTTTACTTAACATCTTTTGAATTTACGGAACTAGTTCAGTTTTACTTTTTTCCGTTCCCAATTTTCAGTTAAATCTGTTAAAAATAATGTTTACTCTGTAAATGCTTTTTTAGACTACAATAGTTAGATTTTAGACTTTTTCTTTTTTTAGGATGCGATAGTTAGTTACATAATTCTTTTTTTAGACTTTTTTTAGATTTTGACATCAAATTAATAGTTTATTATCAATTAAATTATTAGAAAACATAATGTTTCTTTTGATATGTAAAAAATTGTATAAACACTTTTTATTTATCTGTGCTACCGTTACCCTAATATAAATATGCTGCCGAACGATGTTATGTTATCAGATAGTCGAAATTACCATGATTAATGAAACCATGAAACCATACGTACCATTAAATTGAGAATTCCTTAAAACATCTCTTCGAATGGAGTAAGATAAATCTAGTTCAGTTTAATCCTAAGAAAACGCAAGTTTGCGTGTTTTTCATTAAAAAACCCATTTACTGTAGCTTAACATTCCGGATATTCCTTTTAAGATCAACTATAGTATTAGCATCCTTGAGGTTGAGTTTGAGTTGACATAGCAAACGACGTTGAATTTTATAGATATTTGGAGGATAAGGCTAAACCAGCCTCGAAAAAACTACATTAATTACAATATCATTTTTCCGTAGGACTTTTAGTTTTGTCGGAAATAGAGAAAACCCATTTTTTACCCTTAAATAACCACCCCCATACCTTTCCCGACCTCAGATCCCCCGTAAATTATTTTTCCTTTAATTTTATAATATTATCCTCTTTTTCTAATGAGTTTCATTCTACTATAATTTAATTATGTTTTAAAAACTATCGGCACTGGTCTATATGTTATTTTTCATTTTCTATATTTGTTTTTCAACTTTAATAAACACTTGCTTATGCTAATATAGAATATATTTGCTTTAAAAAAAAACTAATGAAAAAATCTAATATTTGACTTCTTGTGTCAGAAGCGAGCTGTCTATTTGTATTTCTTGGGTTGTTATGTTGCAATTTAATAAGTGAATTTGTACTATATACAACATATACATTTATTTTTAATTAAATGAAATAGATATTTTCAAGGTTTTATTTCATTTAAAGATGAAAATAGATACAACCAAATATATAAATAAAATATGGATTTATGTATTGTGTTTATTTTTTGTATAATTTTCCACTTTACTATATTTAACTTTAAAGTATATATTTTTAATAATTCTTTAACTGCATTTTAAGTTTTGAAATCTCTTTTATGCAGCTAATAGAAGTATTATTGGGCTCATCTTTGCAAGTAACACTAACTATTACTATCATTATATATAATATATATTTATTTTTTAACCTTGTATTTATTTAAAATATGATTTTAAACCACGCATATAGATTTACCTCAGCTTCATTAATATGTTACAGCTGTAAACTTTATAAAGTTTTGGTGTTACCAAAGCTAAGTAATAAAAAAGGAAGAGAAGGAGTATGCTTAAACTATGATTCTATCAAGAAACAATTCAACAATGTTCGGGACATTTGTTTTGGATTAAGTAAGATTTTCAAAAGCACCTTTTTTAACCTTTAATCAAAATGCGATAGTGTCCACTTACTGGTGAATTAAACTGATGAAAATGACGAACGATTATATTTCATAATGAAAAATGGATTCCTCAAATGTTCTGAAAGTCTTAAAATTCGTCCCGTATTTTTTATACATATGTTAAGTTGAAAATTTGTTTAAACTCTTATCCATTATATTTAAAAAATCTCTTTAAGAATTTGACTTTTCTTTTTTTAATAATATTTGAATTTTCTTTAATTTTACTACTTCAGAACTTTTTCTGAAGAACTTTTTAAGCCCTTTGGCTTAAAACAATATACAAAATTATAGACCTATATCTATACCCTTTAATTGAAATCTTCGAAAATGCAGTAATAAATCAAACTGCTCCCTCTTATTATAAATATATTCCACGTGAAAGAAACTATGTATTTTAAGTATAGAAGTACATTGTGAACAAATTTGTTGTAACTTATATGGCATATGGCAATAAAAAACCTTTAAAGCATCTCTCTGGGCCCGCCTCCCACTTACTCGTGATAGTTCTTAATTTTAGGATCGGGTTAAAAATTAGACAAAGATACTCCTTGGTACATCAGTTATCAGTTATCTGCCTATAAAAGTCCCATCGAAATCGGTCCTACCGCTTCATAAAGAAGTCAGAATAAACACACATACAGTCCAAAATTGTAAAAAATGTTATTTTGGCGGGTGTACCGTATAAGTATTGTTTACCGCATCCGTATAGATGTAATGATGTAAAAAACGGCTATTTGAATAATAAAAACTGACAATATAATTTAATTTATATATAAAGATTACACTCACTATAAGCCACCATATTTTAAAAATAAATACTAATAAATTTAAAACTGTAAGCAATTCTGGGCATGGCCGCGTCGCAGATTTGGGACATTGCCTCCCGGAGATCCTCCGCTTCTCTGTTCACATTGTTAGGCCTTCCCGGTACAGAAACCCAGGCCTGAACAATTGAGGCCTCCAGGAGGACCTCCGCATCCAACCACTTAAGTGACCAACGCGGCCCACTCCAATCAGGACCCTGCACGACCGGCACATCGGAGGTCTGGGGGGAGACGTCAAACCGGATGTAACGACGATCCGATAGAGTCTCCACCCCTACGACGACACGCCAGTCACGGACACGGCACGCCAGTGCGGGGCTAGCAAATAATAGGTCCACTATGGACCCGCCCATCTGGCGCACACACGCGTGTTCCGAGCCCCGATTGAGTAGAAGCAGGCCGTTTTCGATGGCCCACTCCTCCAGAGATGCGCCCCGGGCATTGGTTGCCGGGGAACCCCAAGCCGTGGATTTGGCGTTGAAGTCCCCGAGTACCAACACAGGATGAGGATGATAGCTGCGGACAGTAGTACCCAACGCTAACAGGAAGTCTTCCCGTTCTGCAAAGGGGCGGTTGGGGGAGAAATATATCCCGACAACGACGAAGTCCCCAAGTCGTGCCGCCACGATACCTTGGCCCCTCGTTAAGCTTTCAGGGAGCCCTGAAGCAGGCCGCACAATTAGGGTTACCAAGCCTTCGATGTCGCTCACCCAATCCGAACGAGGAGCTACGAAATAAGTCTCGGCGACCACCGCGATATTGATTGACCACTGCGCCACGCTCTGGAGGAGTAGATCCTGAGCCCTGGCGCAGTGATTAATGTTGGCCTGGAGGAGACGTATGGGAGCCATTAATTTTCGTCCATTGCATTCTCCTCTACTCCTGTGGGATCCGCTGTAGGAACAGAGGCACCCTTTGTCTCCGCGCTTGGCTTATTGGGCGCTGGTCCTCGAGCCCCCTTGCACGGCTGGTGGTCCGCCGCCTTGCCAGCGTCGGCGCACTTGAGGCAGCGCGGTGCAGCCTGGCATGAAGCCGCCTTGTGGCCGGGCTCACCGCAGCGGAAACAGCATCCACTGCGGTCCACTTGTTAGGTTTGTTAGGTGGTAGAGCCTAGCTGTGGTTAAGTTACTACAGCTCGAACATGGGCTGGCTCGACCGGGGAAGTACCACCCTCTCACAGAAGATCGGCGTGAAGTAGTCAGTAATGACTGCGTTTCGTCCGATGAGTGAGAGAGCCGGTTGGCCTTTCCCTTTTCCCAACCTTTCCTTGTATTTCCTTATTCCCACCCTTTCCTATCCCTAAAAAGAAAAGGTTGGCAACGCATCCGCAACATATTTGTTGCGGATGTCCATGGACGACGGTAACCACCTTCCATCAAGTGGGCCGTCTGTTCGTTTGTCACCTATAACATAAAAAAAAAGGTGCAGCTAGCGCCGATGTGCCCTTCGGCAAAGCATCTATAGCATCTGCCCGGCCCTGTGTCATGTCATGTGTCATCTGCCCACACTGACAGTCTCCACCTGCTCGGGTGCCATAGGCACCTGCTCGTTTTCTTCGCCTGAGCTAGGCCTCTCATCTCCTTGCTCTCTTCCGCCCGAGCTAGGCCCACCAACATCTAAGGGTTTTCTGTTTTTTTGTTTTCTACATTCCATAACTGATCCCACGAGTAAGGCCGATCTAAAAGGTCACTCGCGGGGTGACGCCCATTCCCGCGACAAGGCAAATACTCCCGGCCAGTGCCACACTCGACCGGCGTTGCCCCGTTAGCGACGTAGCTCCCCCTACGCCACGCATCCCTCGGCACGGTACCACACCTTGGATTTGGTGGCGGTTTTTATTGAGGTCGCCAGCCTCGTAGTCCAGACGGTGAAGCCAAGACCCCCGGTCCCCCCCTAGGAGAAGATAACGGGTTGAGAGGCCCGAAGCCCCTCCGGTCGGCGGTAAAGCCGACCCCACCAACCTCTCAGTCTTTCGACTGACCTCCTCCTTCGGTCCCGTCCACTGTGCCCTCTGTTACATCAGAGGGACACGCGGAGTGACGCTCCTCCTGCGCCGCTCTTAGTCTGGCCCCTCACCCCAAGCCTGACCGGTATGGCAGAACCTGCCGATATAGCCTTGGAGATCATTGGAGGACGCAAGCCCCCCCACCACGACAAGGTGGCGGCCCCCCGGGGGGGAAGCAATTTTCAATTTGATTATTCGTTGTTCCCTAACCCTTGTCCTCCGGCGAAGTAATAATCATCCCGTGGCGAGACTATTAATTTCGAAACTTTATTCCACTTGATAGGGATCACACTACAACTAGGGCTATTTATCTAAATTAACTTTACTTGAACCTTGTCATTGAAAACTATTTTAATTTAAATTATTTTGCTCCATATCTGATTGTTTTGTTATTTGTAAAGTATGTATGAGTACTACAACTGAAAAAGTTAATTGTAGCTTCAATTTAATGTACGCCAGACTTTTATAACTTTATTTTCTTTATTAGAATTTTTCATATCTTTCTATAGAATGATTTCTCTTTTTTAAAGAATCAATTTAGGATACAAATTTTCGGTTTAGAATACAAGCATTAATAAATGAAAATAATATGGTAATAATTCCACATACAAAAAATATTTCATTACGCACTGTGAAAAACAAAAATCTCTTTACCCTTTACATTCTAATCAAATGATTATTATCATTACCATGTTATCACCAAATACATCTTTTACGTTTAAATTAGAATTTCAATAGATTGACTACTAATTCTTACACTTTATACATTTCAACTACAAATAAGTATATGTACATTTTCCAAATTATGAAATTAAGGAATGTCACATTTCATCTTAAATATATCAATAATAAAGTGTCTTCCTTGATGTCCGTGAGCTCAGAGATTTTGTTTGAGCAACAAGATTAGGGAAAAAGAAAAGGGGAGCAAAGTGCTTATGAAATCGTGTTAAATGTTTCAAATTGTAGTCTAGTATTAAAAATATATACCTTGTTTACAATTAACGTTCCACTATTAAAAAAATCTTGTTTTTCAAGCAATCAGACACTCTGTTCTAAAAACTTAAGAAAAATCTTGTATGCATTCCTCGCTAGTAACATCGCAAGTTAAAAGATTAAGCCTAAACAAAAATTTTGACAAAAATTTTCTTTCTTTTTTTATTATAGCCTATGTTTATTTATTTACCTAATGGATGAAATTTAGAATATACATCTGAATAATAAAGACAGACTGACTGGTAATGGGTTGCAATTACGTGTATTGCAGACCGTTACTACATTTGGAGCTCAATTATTGTTCATGATCCCAATTTTCACATGTTTGATAATAACGCCCATGTATTGTCATTACAAAATAATCACGACTTATATTATGGTAGCTGGTGACAGTACTTTTTTTGTATTCGTACAATTCAGTAAAATTAAATGTTTAATATTTTTAAGCTTCTTTTTTATTTTACTTCTAGCTAACAACTGATAATAACTGAGGATCGTTTTAAAAAAATACTACTGACCTCTAAAAAAGGTTTACCGTCTAGCTTATATTTTAAAAGTCAAGAAATTTCACAAATTGTTTGTTCTTAACATTATATTTATTTTCCATTTATATAAAAAAAATGGTTAATATTTTTAAACTTTTACTAGTTATATAAAATTTTTGTTAATGATATTACAAATGTTTCAATCAGTTAAAAGTCTTATGGTATAACACTTTTAAATGATGTTTAAAATTTACTACATTATTTAAAAATTGTCTTCTGAAGACGGCATTTGATTGTACGGATGATTACATTATTTGTATATTAAATCAATCCAATACAATTGAATCACTTTACCACATGATAAAAAGTTAGAAATTTCATCAAAGATCAAGTTGCTAATATGAGAATACACTCTTTTAAATGAACATGAATTTTGGTATAATAAATTCCAGCAGATGTTACGACTTTATTTTTTGTCTGCAGTGCTATGTAGTTTAAAATCTTTACGGAAGCCCCTCAAAGTCGGTCCAATTAACTAATGCATATTAAGAAATGAAAATTATAAAATCGTAATAAATACTAAAAGTAATAAATACATGTTAAGTGGAGTGGTTATCTTTTAATTTATTTTTTAAACATAACCAAAATCTTAAAGAATTAGATTAAAATAAATTTATTTATTTTGAGACATTTGTAACTAAATAAATTATAATAATTTAATCATCCTAACATGTAGTTTTAGGTACACTTATTTTAAATATATGAAAGACGTTTTGTACTTTTATATATATTTTCTACTAGAAGACCTGGCGAACTTCGTAGCGCTGTATAATGAAGAAATATCTGTTACGTTTTTTTTAATTTATATTTTTGGAGTTTACCTTTAAGCCATAAATCTCCGTGTTTTGAAGTGCGACAGAATGATTGACATATTAGTTAGTTGTCAAATCTAATGTCAAAAAAAAACACGTTTGTATGGGAAATGGAAAAGGGCTGTTTTTAGGGTTTTCCCGGAAATGAATCATTTTTTTTCAGCTTTCAAACCTTCCCTGAACCTCCACGAACATTTCAAGACTAAGATAAGATAAATCCGTTCAGCCGTTCTCGAGTTTTAGTGAGACTAATGAACAGCAATTCATTTTTATATATGTATATATAGATTATTTTTATTATTTAACTAAACCACTCTTTCAATCTCAAGTCCAGAGTTTCGAATTTTTACTGGGTTTGAAATTTGAATCCTTGCTCATCTAGAATTTATAGAAATATTAATTAAATTTTTCGGCTTGTGCAACTATTTGCCTATTAATAAATGTTAATATTATAAATTTTTAATATACTTTTGTCCTGTGGTATATTGGATTATTTTTCTCTCCATATTCTAATGAAAAACCTAAATTTAGCACTGAGTGTTAATGTAGGCAGATATTGCTTTAAATTTTAAAACAGCGTTTATGGTGCGTTGCATATAGAATGTTTATTTCAAATAACTACACTGATTTACTTAATACTATATATGTTGATTTAATATTTAATAACTATACAACGTGTAACGTAATTAACGCACACCCTCAAATACCCCAATGCAAATATAATAATATAAACGCAATGCATACACCAAATATTATTTATATGTGCGTTTGCATTTTTTATTTGTGAAATTAGTTATCCCGATTTCGTGCAAATAATATGGTCAGCTATTCAGCGACACTCCGCCGCGCCCGCGCCCCTTTCTCCGAAAGCCGTCCGACAATAATAAGAAGTAGGTAATAATAAGTACACGAAATAACTACATACATTATGATTTTTCTTTCCATCACACTTTTCAAGCTTTAGTTTGTTGACATTGAATTTTCTTTTTAATGTGAAGCCAATATTTTATAATTACTGATTTGTTAAATTAAATTTGTAAATAAGAATTATTAAACAGCTGATAACGCGTCATTTGATTAGACACCACAATACCTACGACAAAGTTAAACACAGTCGGCCTGTTTAAATGGTGTGTATCAAAATATTTACAATAATTTAAAGATCATAAACAAACTTACAGTTTAATTTGCACTCGCACGGCTTTGTCGTTTTAAAACGTTTTCAAAATGTCCACCGCCTTGTTCAATGCACTTTAATGACCGTTTTCGCAATTGTGGTTTTATTGTAGATAATACTGCAGTGTCACTTTTCACTTTTACAAAGGCGGTTATTATCTTATTTTTTAGTTCCTCGGCACTTGTTATCTCTGTGTTATAAACTAGCGATTTAATTCGCCCCCACAAAAAAAAGTCGAGTCGCTCAAATCAGCTGATCTAGGAGGTCAATGGACACGTGCGTAGGTATTTGATGTATTGAATGTTAGTGTACCGAAACGACACAGCGAAATGCGCGACTAAGATTTAATTTGCACTTTACACTTGACCTCTTTTCGATAAGGTGGACGCGGCGTGACTAACTTACCCAAAACACATTTTGTTGACTTCGATGTTTAGTTATTATTACTCTGATTCCCGGAATTAGCCTGCCGTCTCGCTCTATTGTAATGTTATTAAGCCGAAGAAAGAAGGAGAAAGTAATAATTTTTAAGGGTGGCGTTAATTATGTTACACGTTGTATATTTACATATAAAAAATCTTTAAGGTATCATGACCAATGGTTTAAAGTTTGTATAAGCATTATTTTTAGGTTTCAAAATGTCAATCAATAGAGTAAATAATTTTCTTTATTTTTGTTATAAATTAATTATTTTTGTCAGACTGTTTATTACATAATATGTAATAAACAGTCTGACAAAAATAATTAAGAGGAAGCTAAAATATCTTTTTATTTTTTAAATAAGTTTTATTTCTTATTATAAATCTTGTTTATTTCTTAAAATAGCACTTAAGCATTTCTTAATCTCAGCACTGTTGGTGATGGCAATTTACAAACCTGGTTTGATAAGTCCTTTGTCATAGCATCAGACTTCAAACAACTTAATATGAAGCCCGAGTTTTGTCAGAATTTTCGATGGATACAACAGCTATTATTTTGCCAGAACAAAGCAAGAGAACGTGTACAGAATCGGCAGTAGACTACCTAGATATCCTTTTAGAACTCGTTCTTTTTGGTCCCTTTCCAAAGCTGTAAAAAAACTTTTGTTAGCCCTCTTCATCACATTTACACAAGGTGGCCGCATTTCGCAAACGAAAAATGTTTAACTTCCTTGCTCTCTCTTAGCAATTAATTCAGCTCCTGATAACGATAGAAAAATACCCCCGAATACCTAACCTTGCAATGCCTAATTGCCGTCTCACAGAAAGTTCTATCCGGAATACTTTAAAGGCTGGAAGACGACAGGTGCATTGGTCCGAATGGTACCCCATCTCCAGAATTGACTTACTCCTCAATGTACCTATTTTTACCCTGTCATACTAAAACTATAGGTCCATCGGTCTATCTTCGTGGAAGTTAATTAATGTTCACCCTAACCTCCAGAAGGGTGACCGGACAAATCCCTCCAAGTACTCCATCAAATAACTTTGTTGTTATAGAAGGTGGTGTAACAAATCATAAATAATCAGTTGTGAGGATATCATAAATAATCAGTTGTGAGTTGTAGGATCAGTTGTGGAGAGTCGCAGCGCGAACGCGGTACGGTGCGCACGCGCGCTTCCTGTGAACTAGGTGTAGTAATAATCGACATTGCAATTATAATTAATACATGT